TGACAGGCTACGGGTTGGGATTTAGAATTATGGGTGTATTATAGGTTTAAAATGTTAATGGATTTGGGTCAATATCCAATATTCAAATTCTTTTGGATCCAAATAATAGAATTGGGCTAAATACAATATTTAAAATGAAATACTGGTTACCAAACAAACTGTAAGAGATTTCCTTGCCATATGCATGTCATAAATTTAAGTTTTTGAAAAAATGAGTGAGGTCATTTACCAATGATATTATCGTGAAATAAATTTATAAGTAGGAGTATACAAGTGTGATAACGTGAAAGTTTAGTCTCACATTGAAAGATAAGAAGAGTAGTGTAGGACAGTTTATAAGATAAGTCACATAATTCAGTGTAACAATGACGAGTCATTTTTTCAATGATTTGAAGCAAACATCGTGTTGCATTTGTTGGCCCTATGGTTTTGATGATGATTTGTCAAACAATTTATAGCTAATCTGTTTTCTAGTTCTTGTTGTTTGTTTTTCTCTTTACAGGAATTCAACACATGGCGATCAAGAATTAAAGATTCAAGTTCATGTGTGCGCAATCATCTAGGAATAAGAGTAGATTTGTTTACATATATCGTTGTTAGACCCTAGAGGGGGGGGGGTGATTATGGTCTTATGCTAATCTAATCCGATTATATGCCAATTAAAATTAATTAATAAGTTATCCTAGCAAGTATCAAATACAACAAGAATATAAGCTAGGATAAGCAACATGAACAATGAGATATATCCTATATAATAGAAATATATGCAAGGATATATAAACAACACAAGGGTAAATAATCTAAACAAGATAGCAGATGAAATAAATGAGCAATGCACAATTGGCGATATAAGATGAATGCGAAAACAAATACGCCAAAGACAAACTCAAACAAGCAATATGATCACGGAGTTTGGACCTTCCGTCCTACGTCTCCGCTCCCCACTCCCGGGGAGAAATCCACTAACACAAACCGGATTGGAAGCTGGAACTTCTACACACTCGGTTTCCAAGTTCACCGAAAACTCTCACACAACAAACACTATGCAAACACACTCTACACCCACTAAGTGTTGAACTAGACGTGTCTCCCTCAAGTGCTCAGTTACAACCTCTCCCTAGGTTCGTCAACCGATGCCACTCCTCTTGGAACGATCCCCGACTCTCGCCACACACTTCTCTCTTGGTGTACAAGTGTATTACAAAATGTATCTCTCAATTTGGCTCAATTACAATAATTGATTGTTCTCAACTATGGATGAAAACACAATGAAAGCACAACTCAAAGTTACAATCTCTCACCACCCAACTATACTATGTATGTAAATATTAACTATGTATGTAAATATTAAAAGCTCAATGTGGGTGTGTGTAACAATGAGTAAAATAAAATCTAACTCAAATAGCAAACTAGCAATAATAAGAATATGAAAATCAATAATGAAATTGCTAGAGAAAAGAGTTAGAAAACTTCTCTATGAACACAAAGAAGAGGATGGAGGGGATTTAGAATGAATCCCTCAATCTGTAGTGAAAACTTCCTCCTTTGTAAACAGAAACCCAAACTTAAACAAACAGTAAAACCCTAAACCCTTGTTTAAACACTTTGTTTTAAAAACACTTCTTAGCTTAGTTGAAAAAGAACAGCAATAGAGTATTTATACCCACTTGAAATCTCAGCCATAACTCCCAAAACAAAAGACCACAAACCCCAGCCAACGGTAATAAAACTAGCCGTTGGAAACAGTCAGACTGAGCGGCGGGCGGCCGGTCGACCGAAATCTGACATATTCAAAAATTGTTTTGCTGATTTTAAAACGCTGTTTAAAAATATCAAATAAATTCCAAAAAATGTAAAACTTTGGGGAATGATTGTAGACATGATAATAAACATGCTACAGCGACTCGTTATCAGAAAGGACCTCCCAAATAAAAAAAATCATCATTTCGCAAAATAGTCCAAAACATGAAAATATGAGATACTTGAATTTTGATGTTTTGACATAAACCAACTTTTGAAACTTTGTAAAATGTTTTTATAGACTTAGTAAAACATGTATAAACTGATATTGTTGTCTATAAACTAAGAATACAATATTTTCACAAAATTGCATATTCTATGCAATGTTTTCAAAAACACAATAGAAAATATATAATTTCATATATATAACCATAAAAACTCAAAAACATATGTATGTATATATATAACTATATATATGCATAGAAACCAAAACTTCACCGACATTCCGCCAACCTCCTTTGGATATGATCGTTGAAGCTCTATTCCATCCATCCTCCAACAACGTTGTTTGTCTACAATACATAGGAATGCACAAACACTAGACAAACAATATTAGTAGTAAATTGTTTGTAAATCATCATCAAAACAAGAAGGCCAACAATCGTATGACTATATTTAAGCTCAATATGTAAACACAACACAAGTTTGACTTTTTCTATCATACAAATGATTTTTTATCAAACTTTGTTACAATAGTTTTTATTTTATATTTACATCTCTTTCATACTTCATAATATATATATAATGTATGCATGATATATATACAGAAGTTTACAAGTCATAGTTCAATTTTTATGTTCACGAAAAACAGGTTTTATGAACACTTTTCAAAAACAGTGAGTTTTCACAAACGAAAAATTGTATTTCCAAAAATTCCTTTTTAAACATGTTTATTTTATCATTTAGAAACTTTCCCCAAAGTTTTACTATTTTTGGAATTAATTTGATATTTCTAAAGTATTTTCAAAATCAGCCCAAAACAGATTTTCAGCATATATCAGTTTGCGACCGACCGCCACGGTCGACCGTCAGTGGTTAATTTTCATAGTCTGCTTTTTATTGGATCACGGTCGACCGTGACGATCGACCGTGGCTCATTCAGAGACTTTCACGGTCGACCGCCAGCTTTTAATTTCCTTTCTCGGCTTTTTTTGTGCTTCGCGGTCGACCGTGAGATTTTTACGGTCGTCTTCACGGTTGACCGCCGAATTAATTATTGTGTTGCAATGGCTATTTTCTGATTTGACTCTCTGGGGGTATTTTGGTCTTTTAAGTGTTGTTTTGGTTGATGTCTTGAGTGGGTATAAATACCCCAGTGCTTCCCTCTTTCAAATAACTAAGAGTTTTTGTTTACAGTGTGTTTTAACAAAAGATTAAGAGGTGTTTAAGCTATTTATTGATCTATTTTAAAAGAAGGGTTTTTCTACAGCAAGAAGAGGCTTTCAATTCCAACTGATGATCTTATCCTCATCATCTTCTACAGTTCTTATTATTTATTGAGAAGTTTTCTAAACTCATTTTCATATATAGCTTATTATTTCATTTTCATATCTTACCTGTATTAATTGAGTTGCATATTTTCTATTTGCTTTTATCACACACACCTTATTGAGCTTATAATATTTCCATACAATATATTGTTGGGTAGTGATGTGTGATTTAGTGAGAGTGAGCTTCATTGTGTTCCCATTTATTATCGAGAACAAATCATGATATTTAAACCCTTATTGTGAGTATTACTTGTAATACACTTGTACACCGAGAGAAGTGTGAGGCGTGAGACAGGGTCGAATCCAATAGGAGTGGCGTCGGTTGACAAACCTAGGGAGATGTTGTATCCGAGCACTTGAGAAGGAGGATACGGGCTAGAATCCTACACTTAGTGTGTAAAGTGTGATTGCATAGTGTTTGTTGTGTGAGAGTTTTCGGTAAACTTATAAACCGAGTGTGTAGAAGTTCCGGCTTCCAAACCGGTTGCGATAGTGGATATCTCCTCGAGGTGATGAGCGGGGACGTAGGTCGTGGGGACCGAACCTCGTAAACATATAGTATGTTTGTGTTTGCTTAGCGTATATCTTATTTGTGCTTATTCTTGTTCATATCTATCTCATATATCTCTTGCAAGATCAAATTAATCAATATAATTTTAATTGGCATAAAATCGGGATTAGATTAGCATAAGACCCTAATCACCCCCCTATACGGTCTAACAACATTCAATAAGCCTTGTGATTTTTACCATGCTAACGGGTTTATGGGCATGGGCCATTGAAAATAGGCTAATTGCGCTTAAATTTCATATAGCTTCACCAACCTTGTATTTAAGTGACCTCTATTTTTAAACCGAGCAGAAAAAAAATATCTCGGTGTATTTAAATATTGCAGATAAATGCCTCAAAATTAAAAAGAACTATACATGTTTACATATTTAAGAACCACATAATAGAGGATACTAAATTTAGATTTTAGAAACTTTTTGATATTTGAGGGAGGTCATTTATAAATTGAGGGTATTTATATGCAAGGGTAAACAAGAGGGCACCAAAGTGTAATATTTTGAAACATTGGGACATTTGTCTATAAAATTTAAATACTTTGGGGTGTTTATTTGCTTGACTTTATAATAGAGGTCACTTAAGTGCAAGGTTGGTGAAACTATATGGCATTTAAGTGCAATTTAGCCAAAATATAAAAACATGTGAAACTTTGGGTATTTAATTGCCAACTTACCATGGATTCAACATTTTCTCTTAGGCGTGCTAAATTGTATCCGTATCCGAGGAAATATCCATAATAGTATCCGTTAGGATACAAATATGGTTACTCAAATCTATAACTGATAGGATATGGTTACGAATATGGTTTTGTTGCGAAATATCTGGATCCGTATCTGAAATATTCGAATACATATTGGTCATATTGTTACAGTAGTTTTATTACTTAAATTATACATTTGAGATCAATTTTGATGATCAATATGTCTAATCTGAGTTTTTTAGATGTAATGGGCATATTAAAGAACACATTTATCCACTTAGACTCTTTTTTTTAAATATTATCTAACTTTTTTATATATATTTTTTCGTCCGAATATGTATTCTAATGTATATCCGTATCCGTATCCGATTATAGCAATATATGAATTTTTGTTATTGAGTTATATCCATAATGGCATCCGTATTCTGTGATGCCCACCCAATTCCCTCTTCGCAAGCAGTCAAAACTCACCACAACCGATCGCCATCACTCTTTCCTTTTTCACTTCCAAATTCCCAAACCATAACAAAAAAAGCAGCAGACTTCGCTGTAAACTACCCAAATTCCTCTCCTTCGCTCTCTCCGCAATGGCCAGTTACAGGCTCGCCGCCGTCATCAAGAACTCATCCGACGACGATTTCCTTGTCGTCAAGCAAACCCCGCCTCCGCCGCTGCCGGAGGAGGAGTACCAGCAGTTCGCGACTCCGAGCTCTGGGACTTGCCTTCAACTCTACTCAAGCCACTGATCGGAGACCAAAGGTCCCTACTTGCGATTCAAGGCGCCCGATTCTGTCAGCGATAAGGTGGACACTGGAGGCCTTGATCTCGTTGCAGGTCTTGATCAGGTGAAATTGTTTGTTTTGATTAGGGTTATTTGCCCATTATTCCCCCCCCCCCCCCCCCACCCACCCACCCACCATGTTTCTCTCTTTTTTTGTTGGTTAGCCTGAGTTTATTTTGACTGTGGTACACTAAAGTCTTCAAATTGATATTGATTTGATAATTTGATACCTCCAAAGGCTTAACTTTGTTCCTGGCTTTACCCGAACTAAAAAAAAAAAATGAAACTCGGTGAGAAAACCTTTTTCTCGTTGTATGTTGATATACAAAATCAACCTCAAGTTTTTTGCACTTTGGGGCATCAAATTGTCAAAACAGAACTTTGAGGTATAAATTTAATACCCTGAAGTTTTATTCTTAGAATTAGATATCCCAATTCACTTTCTATGCTGTTCTTGAGCAAAATTAACCACAGCTTCTTTGCATTATTTGTTAATATTGGACTTACAGACTATTAAAGTTAAAAAAGAGTGAAACTTTGCAGCATTGAAGGGAAAATGATTTTGTTGAGATTTATGTGGGATTTGGATTATAATTCTGAACAAGTGATGATCTTTATTTAGGTTTGGGTACAATTGAGTTTGGAAGCTGCAGCAATTGGGAATTGGTCTCTCCTGAAATATGTTGAAGAACCTGAATTTGGTCCAGGACCACCTGTTCACACATTGTTCTTAGTTGGGACTTTGGACCACAAAGTCGAAAACTTTCGAGGTTTTTTTTTTATCTATCTCTAGTGCGTTGTTTTTGTGTGCAGCATGTCATATCTTACTTCAGATTCATGATGATCTTGAAGAAAAATAAGAGGTATCATAATCGTAAACATTTCTGATGTTTGTTTAGGGTTTGTTTGTTTGTAGAAATTTACATTTAGAATTTTGACATTATTGTAATTTAATCCATTCTCACTTTTTCTTCCCATCTCAATTTTGTGCTTGCTTGAAAAGAAATTGATAAGAAGAGTGTTCTGATTCTAGCTTTTGCAGAATTCTCTTATATGTTTTGGTAGAAACTGAAAAATGGAAAATCTTAAGTGATATCGGTACTCTGTTATGATCTTAATGACTAGTAGATGAAGCACAAGTGTTTGGTCAATTTCAATGCAACCTATTGCGCACATCCACATGTAACACAAATTGAATGGGATGTATTTGTTAATACGAACACAAACTCTAATAATCTTCTATACTATATATGCAGACTCCTGTAAGTGGATATCCAAGGAAAATGCATTGGAGTTGCTTCTAGAAATGAACAAAAGTTGCCACCGTATTGGGCCTTTTGTGGTTACTGGACTACTATGTGATTCAACTAATGGTGAAAAATTGAAAGCCTTTCAAACATTAAACTATCAGGTTTTTTCTTGCATTGTATATGTTTTATGCATATGGTTTTATTGAAGATATTATATTTGAGGGTGTGTCCATCACATTCTATCTGTGCGTGCTTGTGCATGCTTGCATCGATGTGTGCGTGCGTGCAAGGTTTTAAATATCGATTATCGGAGATATATCTAACGGCCAAAATTTGTTTTGGATTCCGGTTATCGGGGATATATTAGGGATAAGTAGTAAAAATCAGAGAGTCAAGTTGGATGGTGAGCATATATGATATAATGTCCTAAAATGTTATCTAAGCACATTTAATGAAATATAAGCATGCTAAAATGTAAATAACACATACTTCATATATACAGCCCAATCAAATTCCTAAGTCTGTTAAATAAATCACAGAGGATTTTATTCAAGTTATTAAAAAAGAATATCAGCCTGACACAATCATAGAACTATTTTAGTTCAAGCTTTTTATAATGTATAACATCTCCTAACATTATAAACTATGGACCATCGAAAAAAAGAATACATGCATTCTCAAATCAAGACTTCAACTAAAAAGATCACAAGCACAGCAAATAACAGGAATCACTCGGAATCAACCATTAGTCAGAGTATATATAAATCAAAGCACCAAAACTTTTTGGTCCAGTTTCATGAAAATAAAACTGGATTCACTCGGAATCAAATCAAAGAAGTACCTGGAGTTGATGCTTAGAGAGTGGAGCTTCAGGACTCAGGAGAGTCTTCAAAGTCATTGTCGAGCTTCGGGAGAGTCTTCAAAGACGCCGAGCTTCGGTTTTGGGGCTGGTCTTCAAGTGATGGGGTTTTCAAGAGGGGGGGGGGGGGGAGCAAAGAGAGCCGACGGTTCTGTTTTGGGGAAAGAAGCTCGAGCGATGATCAATTTTGGGGGGAGAGCAATGGGGACGAAGAGAAATTAGGGAGTTTTTGTGAGCGACAGTAGAGGAATTAGGGCTTTTCTGAGTGTGTGAGTTTGGGTTTTGTTCAATGGGTACAGATCGGATCTAGAAAACTAAGGGTGATTTTGTTGGGACAAACCCGGGGCCCAATAGAGCAGGGTCGCAGCAATAGTAAAGCAAAAGTAGAGATAAAATGATAGACACACAGATTTACGTAGTTCGGCACTTGATTGCCTACGTCCACGGACAAGGATAGAAGAATCTACTATAAGGAGAAAACTCTGGAGTTACAAACTCTCTCTTTTTACAAGGAGAAACTCTCTCTATTTTTTTTCTCTTACTCTTCTTATATAAGAAGTTGTTTCTGGGATGAGATTTCCTTAAGGATTTGGAGCCCTATTTATAGTTTTTGGAAAAACATTATGCACAATAAAATATTAATATTTTACTGTAGCAGTGGGGCCTGCTCTTTTGTTTTTTTTCAAAATATCAACAAAGGCTGCTGCTTCTTTCGGTGGTTTTGGAGTTGATAGGCGCCTGACAATCTCCTGCTGCTTCTTTCGGTGGTTTTGGAGTTGATAGGCGCCTGACAATCTCCCACTTGAAGATTTGATTGAATATCAATCATATCTTCACACCATTCTTTCTATCTTGCCATCTTCATGTTGCTTACGTCTCTGACAGACCACGAGAGGATCGACACCAAATGAAGCAGTCAAAGAAAAAAAATAGAGAAAGTTTCTCCTTGTAAAGAGAGAGAGTTTGTAACTCCAGAGTTTTCTCCTCATAGTAGATTCTTCTATCCTTGCCCGTGGACGTAGGTAATCAAGTGCCGAACCACGTAAATCTGTGTGTCTATCATTTTATCTCTACTTTTGCTTTACTATTGCTGCGATACTGCTCTATTGGGCCCCGGGTTTGTCCCAACAAGTGGTATCAGAGCCAACTTAGGGTACTTGTATATATCTACTTATCGTATGCTCTGTGGCTGCCACCAAAGGTGGATCCTCCACATCAGAAAATAAGTTAGATACGGTTATTACTATTTACGTACGATACTATTTACGTGAAATAGTAAGAAGTTACTGTTCGTGGTAGAAGCAATGGCGGCGAAGTTCAAGATCGAGAAATTCGACGGGAGTAATTTCTCACTGTGGAAGTTGAAGATAAAAGCTATCTTGAAAAAAGATAATTGTCTGGCGGCCATTGGTGCAAGGCCGGACGACATCACAGATGATAAGAAGTGGAACGAGATGGACGAAAATACTATTGCAAATCTCCATCTGGCATCATTAGCAGACGGGGTGCTGTCAAGCATAGAGGAGAAGAAGACAGCAAGGGAGATCTGGGATACTCTAACAAAGCTATATGAGGTGAAATCCATGCACAATAAAATCTTCTTAAAAAGGAGACTTTACACTCTGAGGATGGCGGAATCTACATCGATGACCGACTACATCAACACCCTAAACACATTGTTCTCCCAACTCACAACGTTAGGATATACAGTTGGTGCGAATGAACGTGCAAAACTTCTACTTCAGAGTCTACCTGACTCGTATGATCAACTCATCATCAACCTGACGAACAACGTCCTCACGGACAATCTAGTCTTCGACGATGTTGCAGCCGCTGTTCTGGAGGAAGAAAATCGGCGCAAGAGCAAGGAAGACAGGCAGGCAAGTTCGCAGCAAGCGGAGGCTTTGTCGGTGACGAGAGGAAGATCAACAGAACGTGGCTCCAGTGGGAGTCATGCCCATGGTAGATCGAAATCACGAAGTAAGAAGAATATCAAATGCTACAACTGTGGCAAAAGAGGGCATGTCAAATCGAAGTGTTGGCACAACAAGAAGAGTGGAGATAAAAAGTCTTCAGAGCCATCAACATCTCAAGGATGCGTTGTCAGCACGTCAGAGGATGGTGAAATTCTATTCAGTGGAGCAACCACTGTTGATGAAGACAGAAAGAAGTTTGCTGATGTCTGGCTTCTAGATTCAGCAGCCTCTTGGCACATGACCTCACGAAGAGATTGGTTTCACAAATATAAACCTATCTCAGGAGGATCTGTATTCATGGGGAATGATCATGCCTTGGAGATTTGTGGTATTGGTACTATTAAAATCAAAATGTTTGATGGTATAATACGCACCATTCAAGATGTGCGACATGTGAAGGGTTTGAAGAAGAATCTATTGTCTTTGGGACAATTAGATGAGCTCGGATGTAAAACTCATATCGAAAATGGAATCATGAAGATTGTAGAGGAGCGCTTGTGGTGATAAAAGGAGAAAAGATAACTGTAAATCTGTACATGCTCAAGGGAGAAACCTTGCAGGAAGCTGATTCATGTGTGGCATCAACCAGCCGTGGAGAAGAACAAACCATGATGTGGCATCGCAAGCTAGGCCACATGTCAGAACGAGGCTTGAAGGTTCTCTCCGATCAGAAACTGCTTCCTTGACTTAATTCGGTAGCTCTTCCATTCTGCGAGCATTGTGTTACAAGCAAGCAGCATCGACTGAAGTTCAACATATCGAGTTCTAGAAGCAAGGCTATTCTGGAACTGGTTCATTCTGATGTATGGCAAACACCAGTTACATCCTTAGGAGGAGCAAAGTACTTTGTGTCCTTTATTGATGATTACTCCAGGAGATGTTGGGTGTATCCTATCAAGAAAAAAGCGGATGTGTTCTCAGTCTTTAAAGTCTACAAAGCGCGGGTCGAGCTTGAATCTGAGAAGAAGATCAAGTGCTTGAGGTCAGATAATGGAGGAGAATACACGGACGGTGAATTCCTAGCATTCTACAAGCATGAAGGCATCAAAAGACAATTCAGCACTGCTTATACTCCTCAACAAAATGGAGTGGAAGAACAAGAGCTATGTTGGCTACTGCAAATCTGGAAAAAGTCTTTTGGGCGGAAGCAGTAAAAACCGCCTGTTATGTGGTGAATCGATCTCCATCAACTGCAATACAATTGAAGACGCCGATGGAGATGTGGACTGGCAAGCCAGCTGATTATTCCAACCTCCATATATTTGGAAGTCCAGTGTACGTAATGTACAATGCCCAAGAAATTATAAAGCTGGATTCAAAATCCAAAAAATACATATTCTTGGGGTATGCTGATGGAGTAAAGGGGTATCGCCTGTGGGATCCCACTGCCCGCAAGGTTATTATCAGCAGAGATGTTATCTTTGTAGAGAACCAACTACAAAGTGAAGAGAAAGAAAGTAGTTCGAGGAAGGACTCAGAGACTGCAGCTGTTCAGGTAGAAGATAATCCGAATTCTTCTGAAGCGACACCGGAGCATGATGTACAAGAACCAGTCGAGTCCGAGGCTCCAGAAGTTCGAAGGTCAACTCGTGAGAGAAGACCACCGACTTGGCACTCGGAGTATATTACGGAGAGTAATGTTGCATACTGTCTTCTAACAGAAGATGGAGAGCCATCAACTTTTCATGAAGCTATAAATGGCACAGATGCATCTTTGTGGATGGCAGCAATGCAGGAAGAAATTGAAGCTCTCCATAAGAACAAGACTTAGGAACTTGTGTCACTGCCACAAGGAAGAAAGACCATTGGAAACAAATGGGTCTACAAGATCAAGCGAAATGGCGATGATCAAGTGGAGCGGTATCGTGCTAGATTGGTGGTAAAAGGATATGCTCAGAAAGAAGGTATTGATTTTAATGAAATATTTTCTCCTGTAGTGCGACTAACAACAGTCCGAATAGTCCTGACTATGAGCGCTATATTTGACTTACATCTAGAGCAGCTAGATGTGAAAACATCATTTCTTCATGGAGATCTTGAAGAAGAAATTTACATGCTCCAACCAGAAGGTTTTGAAGAAAAAGAAAAAGAGAACTTGGTTTGCAAATTGAACAAATCTCTGTACGGTCTAAAGCAGGCACCGAGGTGTTGGTACAAGAGATTTGATTCATTCATCATGAGCCTTGGATACAACAGACTTAATTCAGACCCTTGTGCATATTTCAAGAGGTTTGGTGAAAATAACTTTGTTATCTTATTGTTGTATGTTGACGACATGTTGGTTGCAGGCCCCAACAAAGATCGTATCCAAGAATTAAAGGCTCAGTTGGCTAGGGAATTTGAAATGAAGGATTTAGGATCTGCAAACAAGATTCTAGGGATGCAAATTTACCGAGACAGAATAAATAGGAAGATTTGGCTTTCTCAGAAGAACTATTTGAAGAAAATCTTGCGACGCTTTAACATGCAAGATTGTAAGTCAATTTCTACCCCACTTCCTGTTAATTTCAAGTTATCCTCCAGTATGAGTCCTAGCAGTGAAGAAGAGAGGATGGAGATGTCTCGAGTACCGTATGCATCAGCAGTATGCATCAGCAGTGGGAAGCTTAATGTTCGCGATGATTTGTACAAGACCAGACATTGCACAAGCAGTGGGAGTGGTTAGTCGATACATGGCGAATCCTGGTAAAGAGCATTGGAATGCTGTAAAGAGGGTTATAAGATACATTCAAGAAACCTCAAATGTTGCATTATGTTATGGGGGATCTGATTTTATTGTCAGTGGATATGTTGATTCTGATTATGCAGGTGATCGTGATAATAGCAAATCCACCACAGGTTATGTGTTTGCACTTGCTGGCGGAGCTGTAAGCTGGGTTTCAAAACTGCAGTCAGTTGTGGCTACTTCAACAACAGAAGCAGAGTATGTAGCAGCTACACAAGCTAGTAAAGAAGCGATGTGGTTGAAGATGGTGCTGGAGGAACTCGGCTATGAACAAAAGAAGATTTTTCTATTTTGTGACAGTCAGAGTGCTTTGCATTTGGCAAGAAATCCAGCCTTTCATTCAAAGACCAAGCACATTCGAGTTCAGTATCACTTCGTTCGTGAGAAAGTGGAAGAAGGAACAGTGGATATGCAGAAAATTCAAACCAAAGACAACCTAGCAGATTTTTTAAGAAAAGCAGTCAGTACTGACAAATTCATTTGGTGTCGATCCTCTTGTGGTCTGTCAGAGACGTAAGCAACATGAAGATGGCAAGATAGAAAGAATGGTGTGAAGATATGATTGATACTCAATCAAATCTTCAAGTGGGAGATTGTCAGGCGCCTATCAACTCCAAAACCACCGAAAGAAGCAGCAGCCTTTGTTGATATTTTGAAAGAAAACAAAAGAGCGGGCCCCACTACTACAGTAAAATATTAATATTTTATTGTGCATAGTGTTTTTCCAAAAACTATAAATAGGGCTCCAAATCCTTAAGGAAATCTCATCCCAGAAACAACTTCTTATATAAGAAGAGTGAGAGAGAAAAAAAATAGAGAGAGTTTCTCCTTGTAAAGAGAGAGAGTTTGTAAGTCCAGAGTTTTCTCCTCATAGTAGATTCTTCTATCCTTGCCCGTGGACGTAGGCAATCAAGTGCCGAACCACGTAAATCTGTGTGTCTATCATTTTATCTCTACTTTTGCTTTACTATTGCTGCGACCCTGCTCTATTGGGCCCCGGGTTTGTCCCAACAGATTTTACCCCTTGAAATATCAGCCGATTAATCGGATTTTCACCGATTTATCGCACTGATTTATGGCAAAAAACTGACTAAAATGACTTCCTATTCAACATGTCAGAAGTCGTATCAGCTGATGTAAATCGCCGTATCGATTAATCTGTCGATTTTTAAATCACTGCGTGCATGTGTATGTCTGAGAACTTTAACTACTTCTTTCTTTTGTGGAATCTTACGGGCTGTGATTTGCAAATAGAAAGTGAAAAGAAAGTACTTTCTTGAAAAGGTACTTTCTTTTCACTTTCTACTTTCTATTTACTTTTCGGTTGCCAAATACGCCCTTAGTGGTATTTGTGAATATGTACTCCCTGTGTCTGAAGACATGCAGCCTGAATCATAGCCTGGTTTTTGCAGCATATTGATGGCATTCTAGTGTTTGACTTATCCTAAAAAATATGGAGTTTTAAAGTTATGTTACCTTCTGATAGTTTTAAGGTTATCTTACCTTCTGATGGATTATTGAGTTTTTCCATCATTCTAAAGTGATATGTAATATTGCAAAGTCCTGCGGTCCTGCTAGCATAACATGTTTTCTTTGCACCAGGAGTACCCACCAGGTCTCATGCTTGTACCCATGAGAAGTAGAACAAGGGAGCCTTTTCATACAACAAATCTAGTAGTTATGGTACCACATAGTGGTAATTTAATTGAAGATTCCAATTATAACATTTATGGAGATGCATTGCTTGTGGATCCGGGTTGCTGTACACAATCCCACTCGGAGGTAAGGGTACTTAGATTATGTATTTGAGTTTGCAAATTTACTGACAGTGCTTTGTATTAGGAGAAATTTGCTCTTTCAAGTTGGCTTTATGTGGTAATTTTGGAAGATGAGGTCTAGCTGTCAATACAAGAGTCTTTGACATTTGAAAATTGCCCCTATTGGTTTTTCTTTTATTTATTTCTGTGTTCCCAACATTCCTATATTTTATTTTTTTGAATTATGGTTGCATGGAAGGCACTGGGTGGGTATTGTAAGGGTTGTTTTGTTGGTTAGGTTTCATCTTCAACCCTTCATAATATTACATTTTTTTGGTACTAGTACTATAGGTCATATGAGCAAATAAAAAACGCAGCACGTATTTCCTTTTCCTTTCCTTTCAATCACCCAACATTCTCCTGTTAGCTTTCTTTGTTTGTAACCTCTCCTTGTCTTTTCTCACGTTGAAAGTATTCTATGAAGAGTAGGATATGTGTCCAACAAGTGTATGATGAGTGTTTTAAATCAAAACTTGTATCATATGATTGAGTACATATTTGATTAAATGTTACATATCTAAGGAGTGTTAGTGTTTGGTATGGTTACAATACGTGTTGAGTACAAGGTACGTGTCAGTTATGCGTACACCCTCATGATAGAACTACTCATCATAAGCAGGTCCGCCCTGACCAAAGTGGGGTCACATGACCCCATTTTGGTCCAGGAGGACCAAAGTGGGTTCACATGGCCCCACTTTGGTCTAGGAGGACCAAAGAACCCCTCCTTTAAGTTGGGGGTTTCTAAGATAACTCCCCTTAACTTTAAAATGCTACAAAATTCTCCTTTTAACTTTTGTGATTCTCATAAAACCTCCTTCAACTTTTGTTTTTTAAGAAAAATTCTTTAAAAGTGTGATCCACAATTTCACTAGCAGAAGTATCTCCCCATGTAATATTGTCCGCCCAAGCGCAATTAACACCGTTAAGATTTTTTTAATTATTAAAGATGCTGTAAGTTGAAGGGAGGTTTCTTAGAACTGCAAAAATTAAGGGGTTATCCAAGAAACGTCCAAACTTAAGTGGGGTTTTTTGAAATCTATCCACTAAAAACTTACCTTTCAATTCAGGTTCATAACATGAGAACTCATTACTAGTGACATATATTGAGAAAAATGTATTTGACAGTGTTACTAGTGATATGCAATTATGTACTCTTTTCAAAATATGAAAACTCGTTGAGGGCAATTGTAAAAGTTTTCTAATTATTACTTATGTAGTGACGTCACTTTCCAGAAATTCTGGATCCGCCACTGGTACTCATGCAACATAGTTGCAGTCTATGGCAAGCTACTTTATTCCATGCCAATTGATCTATCATGTACCAAATTAGCTACAGTTGCAAGTGCTTTATATCTTGCAATATATTTCCATCCTCATTTTGTTAGGTTCACAACTATAATGGTGCCACATCATAGGATGCAACCATGCAGACGGACATATTTTTAATGCAAATTTCTTTGTTATTCGTGTCTTTGTTGGGGTTAACTGCATTCTACAACTGATTCTCTTGTCTAAAGAAAATTTGACGAGATACTGCATGAATATAGCTACGCAGTATGCACTAAGTTTCAGGGTTTGGTATCTTGGACCTAATGGTGAGTTCATTATGTGTGGACAAAGTTACAGAGAGGGAGAGAGAGAGAGAGAGAGAGAGAGAGAGAGAGAGGGAGATACACACAGGCATATGTAATATGTGCACTCTTGTTGTTGTGTAATTTATGTCTGGTTGTTCTCAGTTAGTGTGCCTTTTTCTTTACTGGTTGGTGAAAGATTTTATGTTATCAGCTAGCAGATCTCGTGGCTGCATTGCCGAGAAAGCTAGTTGTCTTCGTTACTCATCATCACTATGACCATACTGATGGTATGTACTTTAATCTTTCTGGATTGGGATGCTATGATTTTCTTTGATTATAATATATGATAATTATCAGTTTTTATGGTTTTTATGTGGTAGAACATAGTAGATTGTGCATGTGCTCCCCAGACATGTACGCAATTCTCACAAATAGACACGAAAGCCATAATTCTTGGACATATGTATTTAAGCCTACATATGCATAACTGGACACAGTACTGTAATGTTTGAGTAAATGACATGATTTTACCTTGAGTTTAAGTTATCTGAAAAAAATAATTATAGAGTTACGGAAATGTACATGTGCATATCTTTATGTGTGTACTGTAATGTTTGAGTAAATGACATGATTTTACCTTGAGTTTAAGTTATCTGAAAAAATAATTATAGAGTTACAGAAATGTACATGTGCACATCTTTATGTGTGTGTGCGCTTGCATGTGTGTGTGTGTGCGTGTGAATTCAAACATGCACAGACATGCATTTATTTGTGAAGTATTGTTAGCTAGTGAGGAGTACAACAGTAGAAGAGCTTCATAATATTAGTGCCTGCAGCATCAGTAAAACAGCATAATTGTACATTGATATTTATTTGTTCTTAGAAATAGTGAGATTGACTTTCTTGGTAACTTCATGATTATCATACTTTGAATGATAATACATAGTTGATTTCAGGTCTGTCAATCGTCCAAAAATGCAATCCAGACTCTATTCTCTTGGCACATGAAAAAACCATGAATCGAATTGGGAAAGGTAATTGAAGTTCCTTCTTCATGTGATTACTTCTTCTAATGTATAGTTTATTTTTATAACCAATACTTGATTCTCTTCATCAAATTGGATTTGCTACAGAGCAGAACTCTTAAGTGGGTAGGGTCCATGAAAGGATTGAAATTAATATTTTCCGGAGACGCAGTGCTTGCACCACATGACTTGGTCCTGTGTTTGAGCCTAAACAATTATCTTAAGAGGATGAGTTTTAAATGCATTTATTTATAGATTCATGATGTTTTCCAGTACAAACTTTAGTACCTCGTCTCTAGCAATCTAAATCCCTGATTATAAGTGATGACATTTTTGGCTGATGAATTGCTTGAGCAGCCCTTTTAAATTTACAGGTTTCATCTCTTTGGACTTGATGTGTAAATGGAGAGTCTATGCCACAATGGGGGCATCATATTTTATCAAGCATGTTATATGGCTCGACAAATTGTAGCTACATGATTAGCATTTTTTTCTTTTATTTTGTTCTGTTTTGGGCTTTTTTTTGTGGGGGCGTTTGGTTTTTTTTTTGGGGGGTGGGGATGGGGGGTTGTGGTGGAGTAAACTAATGAATACTGGGTTCAACTTCTTTCTAAGTCTAGAAAAGGTCCAATTATGTGATTCCCTGTCATATTATTTTGTGACCTAAATGTTCATGCCATTGGCCAGTAAGATATCACAAATTCTGCTCCTATTTTGGTTTCATTTCCTTATTAGGGTTGGTGGTTGTATTACTCCAAAATAGATGGTTTCTGGATGGTAGAATTTTCTTATCAGAGCAGGAGCCTGCTCTATATATACGTCTTATGTTACTTTCTTTACTGGGACAGATGCATGGTCTCTTGGTTATACCTCAATTTCCGGTGGTGAGAAGGTACAAATAGGAGGACAAATATTCGAAGCACTATTTGCTCCGGTATGTTTAATTGCTACTCTAATATTCAATAAAGAATCATCTTGGAATTATCATATTGAAGCCAAAAAACTCAAGTAGTATACAAGTGGCCAGTCCTTTCTTTGTCGTGAAGCAGATAACTTTATGTAGGATGAAAAGATTCTCTGAAATCCAACAGAATATATTATGTGACTGTAGTTGTCTTTTTAACTATTAGATCTTACTGGCCAGTGGCCACTGTCACTGATCATTGACCTCCCTCAGTAATAAATATGGCCACCTTTTACACCTGTGGTGAACATTGACTGAAATTAATAGAATGAATTCAATATGGTTAAGAAAGAAAGTGGATATAGACAAATCATAAATTCCTTGCACAAGATACTCGCCACATAGTTGAGATCCTGTCAGAAGCATCAATTATGCCTAACCTGCAACCGACATTGTAGTAAAAGGCTCACACTTTCTGACCACAGTCACCTGACACAACCTATCCCATTCCAGATGGATGATCAGATAAGATTAGTTCAAAGAGAGATCAATCTCTTTCATTTTCTTTCTTGTCCACTTTAAAGCATTAAAACCTCCTGCATTATATTGGCTCTAACTATCATGGAGGTTTTCTCTTCTTACTTCATCTTTTTCATAACTGCAGTTTCTTTATGTCCACGTTGGCGTGGTGTTTTATCTAATCTGTACTTTTAGTTAAATTGTTTGTAACATGATGTTAACTGAAACATGTTCTATCTCGGTGCACTTTTATATACTTATGGTTTTTGATATGTAATTCAGGGTCATACAGATGGTCATCTAGCTCTTCTACATGTTAATACAAACTCGCTCATTGTAGGAGATCACTGTGTAGGGTAAGAGTTACTATCCAGATTAAATCTCAATGTTTTCTGAGTTCTTGTATAAAGTAAATATTATAGATCTAGATCCTGCTTATTTTAAGTCTGAATGACATAAATATTTCTTATTTCTCCCTACACAATTACCCCATTTGTGAACATTGGAAACCCTCTCCGAACTGAGGATGTTGAATGTTTTCCTTATTGTGAATATACTAGCAAGATAATTAATATATAAGATTAGTTAACTTTCCCTAAATGGTAAGAAACACGAGACTAAGACTAATATGCAATGCTAGTTGCATTGGCAGGGTATTGGTAAATTAGAGGGTATTTTCTGAAGTTTATGTTGATTTAGAATGTATCAGAATGCTTGTAATTCAACATTTGGTACAGTAATAGCGAAGACGGGACTCAATTTTGGCAAGAGAAATATAAGCTTCACAGATAAATTGGAAGTTTCATGTAGCTTTATTTGAAAATTGTAAATGATATACTAAAGTTAAGTAGATATACGTAGTATAATAGAACCAAACTTTTAAACTTTTAAAGGTTACTGAAGATATACTTAAACCACATGGTTGAATAAGTGTGAAAAAAGATTACGTGTTGTGATCAGTGTTGTCTCAGGCATAACAATGTGATTGCCTCAGGAGCTGGGCGCTCCGGGTGCTGCAGCTTCTCCTTGCATGAGGTACAGGACACATATTGCATAAGCGAGGCATGTGTCTTGGTGTGCTTTGTACCTCCTACCTGGATGGGAAGAATCCATCATTTTGAGAGGTGGAAGAGGGAACGAACCAGCAATGCAAAAGGCTTAGCCTTTAGGTTCTTTAGAGTGAAAAAATTTCTGAATATGAAAATAACAATTTTTTTTGAAGAATCAAATAATTAATAAATTGCATAACTAATAAAGAAACTAATTCTTGAGCTAAAATCTACATAACTATAAATATCAATTCAATGAGTCTCTAAATCCTAAAGCAGCAGGCCAATGGATCCCAAAGAAGACAGAAACTTGGATCATATATGTTTTTTTTTAACAATAATAGAAGAACATCTAGAAGGAGCTAAGTCTGCTCTCTTAAAGTGTGCAAGCATAACATTCAGTCTAGGCAACGTTTCTATCATGTAGGTCTGAGTTAGATCATTACAGAGTGGTTTCTTTACCCAGAATTTTATGTTTTACTACTCGTTGTACTTCTTTATAGGTGACAATTTTAACATATTTATTTTAACTCAATGTTTTTTTTAGAATTCATAAGGATTTTTTTATAATTTTTTTAACCCCTAAGGTTTATGTTTTACTACTCATTGTATGGCTTTATAGATGACAGTTTTAGCATATTTCTTTTAACTCATTGCTCTCTTTGGAACTCATAAGGAATTTTTTAATGAAATTTTACCATTATAAATTAATAAATCTTTTTTCCGTCAGTCATGGGAGCGCAGTTCTGGATGTCAGAGCTGGTGGAAATATGAAGGTAAGATTTTTATTTATTATGCTTT